TAAGGGAAGGCCATGTCTTACTAACTTAATTGAATTTGATCAGGAAGCGAGAAGAAGGATTGATAATGGTGGACATCCATAAGGATTTTAGCAAGGCATTTGACAAGGCCCTGCATGGGAGAGTGGTCAGAAAAATTAAACTCCATGGGATACAGGGGAACATGACCAAGTTAGATATAAAATTGGTTCAGCAAAAGAAAACAGAGGTTAATGGTTGACAGATGTTTTTGCATAAGAAGACCAGTTTCCAGTGGTATTCCACGCTTGTTACTTGTGTTTCATATGAATGATTTAGACTTAAGTTCTGGAGACATAATTTGAAAATTTGCTGACAACCATGAATTGGTTGGGTAGGTGATAGTGAGGTGGATGATCGTTGACTGCAGGATGATATAAATAGTTTGGTTGAATGGGCAGAAAGATGGCAAATTGAACTCCACAGGTTATGCATTTGGGGATGGCAGACAAAACAAAGAAATACAAATTAAATAGGACAGTACAAATAAGATAGAGGAAGTGAGAGATCTTGCAGTCCATGTCTATGCATCTCTGACAGTGGCAGATAGTACGTAAGATGGTAAAGCAGGCATTTGAAATGCTTTTCTTCATTGGGTGAGGTATTAAGTACAACATCAGTGATGTAATGCTGGAAGTATATAAGATTCTGGTTAGGGCACAGCTGGAGTTTTGTGTACTTTCTGGTCTCCACATGACAGGAAGGATGTAATTGCTGGAGAGAGAGTACAGGAGAGATTTACAAGAATGTTGCCAGGACTTGAAAATTGCATGAAGAAAGATTTAATGGGTAATATTGCTTTTTTCAGAACAAAGTAGGCTGAGCGCCTACTTAAATGAGGTGTACAAAATAATGAGCAGAAAGGCAAGTTCTGTTTCCCCAAGGCAGAGAGATCAATTATGAGGGAGCACAAATTTGGGATGATTAGTAGAAGGATTAGCAGGTTATGAGAAAAAAATTGTTTTCACCCAGAGAGTGGTGTAAGTCAGGATTTTCCTCCCAGTTTGTGGTTGAGGTGGAAACCTTCAATTCATTTATAAAGAACCTGGATCTGGACCTGAATCACTGTAACCTAAAAAGCTACAGACCAGGTACTGAAAATTGGGATTAGAATGGACAGCAGACACAATGAGCTGAATTGCCTCTTTGTGTGTGATAATATTTCTATGGTTGTTGTGATTATCTGAGTTGTGAATGAGTAAGCCTGTAGTTCTGTTTCTGAGTTTATGCTTATGACATACAACGAAACAACAAATAGCTGTAATGGAACAGATGTCTCACATATTAACTCTGGTAGCTCCAGCAAAATAAGATTTGGAACTTCAGCACAGTGATGATTCACTCTGTACTTGAACTTTTGTATCCAAGGGATAAAACTACAGCCAACAATACAGCCTGGGAGAGAATTCCAAAAGTAGTAAATGTGATTTGTTAACTACTGGGATTCTATACTGACTTCCTGGATTAACACAGAATAATGAGATGCAACAGCAACAGTTCGGCTGCTGTAAACATTCAGCTGTTGGTGTATTGCCAGCTACTGCCACCCTTCTGCTCTTGACTGGGAACTGGTACACATCTCTCTGATGTTGAAAACTGATTCAAGTATTATTAAAACTACTGGCCTATGCACTTTTGAATTGCATTTTATTTCGAAACAAGAGACTTTTTTTTCTCTGTAGTTTACCAATCAAGATTATAGTGAAGCTCAGTTGTTTGGAAAAGTAAAGTTGTTGATTATGAGAATCTGGATTGTTCTCACTCTTCTTTTGTCTGTTCCAGCCAACTTTCTCATTTGTTTCCTTGGCAGAGTTAAATTCTACTTCTCATTTTAATGTGATGAATGTCTGCAATTAAAAGGAGATTCACATTCTTATAGAATTTTTAAAAATGCAGTTATATACTGGCTTTTGCAATATCCCAAAGCATTGTTCCAGCAAATGAAGTACTTTAGAAACGCAGTCACAGATGTGGGACCTATTACAGAAAATTTGCATAAGTTCCAAAAACAGCAAAATGTGATACTTACCAGATAACCTGTCCTGTGGTGTTGATAATTATTGGCCAGGTGGAAGCCTTCCACCTTGTAAGGCAATAAATTCACCATAGAGCTCAAATCTTTTGTTAAGCATTACCTGGTATGGCTGTCTGAGATACCAATCCACCACATTTGTTGCAGAGGTAGGCAGTGGGCTGACAAGGTGCACTACTCAGTGGCCATTGTTCTCTTTAGGCCCTCTCCCCAGCCCGTTGAGTTTATTGCTTCTGCTTGCCTTTTGCAATGCCTTTCCAAACAACCTTCATAGCTCATTGCCATCAGCAACTATCTCCCAGTTATCAGTGTTGGTATCCACAATCAAGAGGCAAAACTTGTCAAATTGACTAGGACACTGTACTTACTTTTCTTTGAATAGTGAAACATGATCTTTTAAGTTTATCTGAGAAAGGAAACTCATCCATTGGTCCCATTTGCAGACTGTAAACTGATTTCCCACTTTTAAAATCAGAATTCAGCTATTTTATTTTGGGGTTGAACCCAGTTGACTAATTCTTTTCCCCCCAAAAAAGTCAATGGACCAGATGCATGAAATGTCAAAGTTAACTCTGCTACCTTTCTGATTTGGTGCACACAACCATTTCTCCTATGTCAGATGGGAGCGTTTCACCTTTGGTATAACACTGGGGAGGTCTTGCGACACAGTGGGTAGCATCTCTGTCTCTGAGCCAGAAGCTCCAGGTTCAAGTCCCACTCCAGGACTTGATAGCCAAGAATGATGTGTTCATAACAGAGTAGGAGTATCTAATTGTAACTCTTTCCGATTCCAATGGCAGGTGGTAAGACTGGGTGAGATTCCTAAACAGGGACTCCTTGGGGAGCTACTTAGCACAGTTGGTCAAATGGCTGGTATGGATCAGATTGTTGCCAACAGCACAGGGTTGGATCTCTGATGTGGCTTAAGAGGATTTGGTGCCGGGCATCTTACCTAACCATGGCATAAGTCAGACCTGCTTTTGGGCAGTGAACTCAACAATTAGAAGACCCTGTGGTGGATACAGGGACACTGAATAAATTTAAGGAGTTAGGCAGATTTCTAATTAGTAACAGGTTAAAGGGTTGTGGGGAATGGGCAGGAAAGTGGAGTTGAGGCCAAGGTGAAAACAGCTGTAACCATTATATATGGTGGAGTAGGCTTGAGGAGTTGAATTGCCTACTCCTGCTCCTCGGTTTTTGTGCTTTTATAACAATGGTAAATTTACCTTCCGTCACTTGCATTATCTAGTGGTAGATGAATGAAGTTTCTTGTAGAAGAAAGTGCCAGCAATGAGGCCAATAAAATGCATATCAACTCTTTTAGCATTTTATCTATTGTTTTACAAAGAAGATGTACTTCTTCCTTCCAAAGTTTTTCAGCTGGAGATGATTATTCATTCCATGTCTCCAAGTTTTGCTTTGCTGATTAAAGCTGAAATTTTCTGATCACTGTTTGCTTTATTGTTTGCCTGCAGTAAAAACAAACTTGAGATTTATAATCAGATTTGATAAACAAAAAGCATGGCTCTGAGAAAAGCCTAATGGTAATTGGAGTTAATCCTGAACAAAATGCAATGTGTTTAGAATTATCATTGAAAATATCTGGTGTAAATAATTACTTTCACAATATACAAAAAAAGCTGTTTTAAAGTTGAAATTGAAGCAGATTTGTGTAAAGCAATAACAGTGAATTCTCTTTTTAAAAATGTTTAGAGTTTCAAAGAATACATCTCAGCTAAAATTGTATTTTTAGTGCTGTAGGCAAAGAATTGTTTCTCTTTTTGCATGTGCTGTTAATAAGTATGAAGCAGAATTTCCAATGCCAAAGACTAAGAGCCAAAACATTTTATTATTTGGGAATCACTTCAAAGCATTGTGAATAGCTTTCTTCCTTCATCTGAATGAAATTTTTCCCTGAATACTCAACAATATTGATTGATTTGCAATTGATATGCACTTTGTTGTGGCATTTTATAGCCTTTACTGTTATTATGCTTTTTATAAAAGAGCCATAATTTGCAAGAAATGAGTACTGCTCATTGACAGATCTAATTCATGACTGCAGCTGGCAATATGCCACAATATGTTCACTGATCACCAACTACTAAATATTGGTGAAAATTGTCTTTCATTTTGACTAAACATAAACAAATACATAAAATATTACCTGGTCTTTCTAAACTATCAACTTCAGGTAAAATCTTGTCAATTTTTAATATTTGTAAGCAACCTGTTACAGATTTCATTGCAGACCTCAGAAGCAGGTGGGACTTGAACTACAGTCTCCTGGCTTAAAGATAGGGACACTACCAGTGCACCACAAGAGCACCCTCGTCACTTTTAATAGTCACACTCATTAATTTCAGTCCCACTGGATATAAACCCAAATAAATTTTGATCTTAATTGGCACATAGGCAGAAAGTTGACTGCCAAAGTTACTTTTTATTTAGTATCATTGTTGGTTAAAAAGGAACTGAAATGTACATATGTAGATAGCAAGAACTGCAGATGCTGAAGTCAGAGACAACAGTGTGGAGCTGGTGGAACACAACAGGTCAGGCTGCATCAGAGGAGCAGGAAAATCAACGTTTCGGGTCGGGATCCTTCTTCAGAATATTTTGTTGCTGCACATATGCAATTAGGACCAATTAGTTTGATGAACTAATGACTTAAAGTGAACAAACTAAACTTTGGATAAAATCTTTAACAGTATAAAACAGTAATACCCCAGGCAATGGTTGAGTATTCTAGGCAAAATTAGTTTCCGCAAAAGCCGGGTTTGGGTTTAGGACCGTATCCGCAATTTACTAGATTGTAAAGTTTCGAGGGAGGCTCACTGAACCGGAAACGTTAACTCTGACTTCTCTCCATAGATGCTGCCCAGACCTGCCGAGCTTTTCCTGCAATTTCTGTTTTTGTTCTTTCCGTTTTTAAGATGTAAAATATTTCTGTTCAGAAGTAGATGGACAAATATCATCCAGAGGGAATGTAACTTTCTCATTTCTTTAGAGTCCAAAATAAAAAAAAATGCTGTTGAATCTCTGACAAATTTGAAAATCGTGCGAACTCTTAGTTCTTTGGGGCGGCCTGTCTTGCCTGGTCCTCCTCCTGTTGCTTTTGGACGTGTTCGCGCGGAGGCGCGCATCCCCGGAGCACGGTCCATGTCCGTTAACCTGGAGCGCGAGCGCAGCTCAACGGTGAAACTAATATCCCCGAGGGCAAGGGAGAGAAAATCGAAATACATGCAAACTCAAGCTTATGCCAAAAGGTGCGAATCCTGACTGGGAGCGTGATCCTTCTGCAAATTATAAATATATGCACGCTCATACATAGAGTACAAGTGGCTGGAGAATTGAAAGTGCATGCCCGGGTTGCAGTGAAGGGCCAGCTCCTTGCAAAATCCCTCGGTGTTTTGCAGCTTCTTTCTGACAGATTGCAGCCGCTCACCTGGGGATCAGAGGCTGACACGGGACATTGCACCCCCCCACGTCCCTGGAAGGGGCGGGGGTGGTGCTGCTGACGCCCCGAGAGCTGTAGCCTTCCTTATTTTTCCATGAAGCCCGCAACTTTGCGCCTGGGGCTCGGCAAACATGAGTGAAGAGCGGTCGAGTTCCTCGGGCTGTGCCGGGGGCAGAGGGCGAGAGCGGGAGAAACTTCCAGTCATCGTGACGGCGTCGCCAAGCTCCGAGACGCCCGCGGCAGCATTCGCGGTATGTTTTCTGAAAGAAGAGAATTAATTGTTCTGTGTTGATATTAAATTCAACTCAGTCAGTAGTTTGAATAAGTCGTGGTTTGTCACAAGACTGAAGAGTATCCTCTAGGGAAGCTTAAAAAAATGGCTGCTTGTAAACTCAATACAACCACCCTAATTAGCAGTATTTTTTTTCTGGAATTTACGTTTCCTCGCTCAAAATTTCTCACTTAAATATGACTGATTTATTAAATGAAGGCCAGAAAATATAATGCAGTTTAAATTTGCGGATTGGTACCCAAGTACCCGCCCCCAAACGGCCACTGGCTCCATCAGTAATACCTTGTGACACTTCCTTGAAACTTAAACAATCTTTCAAGCTGTCACGGTCGAAACAAAACACAATACTGTAACATAATCGACATAGAAATTGCATGGTAAAAGTCGTATGTTTTCTGGGTTTTAATTTCGACCTCTCCTTAGATGGTATCAATCAAAAGTACCCCAGATGACTCTCGGTCAGCTTTCAGTTATGGTTTGGCTTTTCGACTGCATGCACGTATGCCCGAGAAAGTTTAATTTGCAACTTTTTAACCACTCTTTCGATGAACCTTTTGACATTTGTAACGTGGACATAATTTATACTTGTGTAATGTCACGTGTCTTGTAGATTTTTTTTTAAAAGAATTCGATATGGATTACTTGAACAACAGCATGTGTAACTGTTTTCTGGAAATATATTAAGTTTTTTTTGTGAATAACTACGTAGAAATGTGTATTCATCAATGGAAAAAGTTATCAATTGTGATCATGTTTGAACAAGTCAAGTAAAATGCTTTGCATTAATATGACAAATTTAGCTGAAATTTATGGAGTTGTCAATTAATGCAATTTTGGTGATTAACTTTAGTAGTTACTAATTGCAAGATGAGACACAGGATTCTCTTTCATGCTACAATTTAATACAACAACTTGCATTTATGTAATGGCTATGATGTAGTAAAATGCTACAAGAGAGCTTGATCCACCCACTAACTTTTAAGGATTGTCTTTTAGGAGGGCTAAGAAGTACAGAGGCACAAGTTTAGCAAAGGAATTCTAAAGCTTAGGCGCTTAGAAGCTTAGCTGCCAACATTGAACAAAGAGAAGTGGATAATTAACGGACAAGAACGAGAATTGGAGCAAGTTTGGAGGGCTGAGAAAATTGCAGAAACAAATAGTGAGGTCATGAAGGATTTGAACAAAAGGATACAAACTTTAAAATCCATCTGTTGTTGGATTGGGAGTGAGTAAAATTCAACAAATACGGGGTGATGTGTGAGGAGGACTAAGTACAAATATTATTGCAGACAGGAGAGATTTAGATGAACTTCAGTTGACAAAGGGTGGAAGTCATGAGACCAAGCAAGAAATATTTGGAACAATGGGATAAAGAACTTGTGGTCTTTTTATGATCTTTCTGACTTCATGTTATCCGGTAGTAACAAAAGGTAAAGTCACAATTGTCCCACTCATTTATTAGAGACAGACAACTGATGGTGGTTTAACCTGAGGTTCACCATGCCACAGACAAGGGGAGAGCTTATTCAGGAGACACCTTCGTGGTAACCTCAGCCAGTGTGGAAATTGAACCTATGCTGTTGATATCATGTCTCTCTGCATCACAAACCAGCCATCTGGCCAAGTGTATTAGCATGGACTGAGCAATAATTAGATTAAAACAGGGACATATAGCACTGATACAATTCTAATCCAATAAATGGGAAAATGGAGGAGTGTGATCACCTCCTGAAACATGTTAATTCATCTGTTGTGCAGTTCCATATCAACTTGCATAACAAACAGGATGTCATAGAAACTTCAATTTTCCGGGCTGTTGTCCCTGACTAGAAAAGGATAAGGTCATAAAATGTCACATTCTCAATTGACAAGACAACTTGGAACTGATTTTCTCAAAGTCACTTGCTCAGCAAAAGTTTATGATAAACAGATTGTGAGCAGACAAAAGCACGGATGTGGTTGGATGTATATCAACCTATCAGTTAGTTATTTTTGACTGAAATGTTCAATGAAATGTGAACAAAGAGGCTCCCATCAGATTTCAATTAATATTAAAATGTAATTATCTGAATCTATGTGGACTTGTTCAACTTGATAATGCGTAATTGTTTGTATTTCTGTGGAATATTGCCAGCACATTACACACCAGTGTGGTCTTACAAAGAGAGATACTCAGGAGAGGAACAGAAAATACAAAGACATGTTTGACATTTCACCTTGGTGCTACTAGTTGACAGTTATAGTTTAAAAATCAAATGAATGCCCTCTTCAACTGATTCTCTAATTCTTGGTAGTTGTTCCATTGTTCAAAAGAAAGAGACCGAGGTTACTGTCAGCACTTCATTTGGAAAATCTCAGCTGTGATGCCCAGGCTATGCTAAGAAGTGATATTTCTTCCTATTCAGATTCAATGACTGGAACAAATAGTCCAAATCAGTGATGTACTGCACAGAAAAATATTTCTATTGCCCAAGTTTCTGGCCTGTTCAGATCAAATTAGAAGAAAGCAGTGTGTGCTTTAGATTTATGTTGCATTTCCATAAATTGCACTCATCAGATGGCTCAAAACCTCTTCTTAAGTAATTATATACACCTAGGGCCCAATCAGAAAGAAAATGCAGATGTCCAAGTATTTCAGTCAGACATTTAAGTAGAAATACTGAATCACAGTTGAAACCTCTGTTTTTGATTTGTAGATCAATGAATAAGTTTAAGTATGTTTTCTGTAATTGTGTTCTTGTTCTTACCCATGATAAACAACTCATGATGGGGAGATGGTGCATGATGCTAATGTCACTGGACTAGCCATCCACATGCCCAGGCTAATGCTATGATGGTTGACAGGAGAGTCTCAAATCCAACCATGGCAATTGGTAGAATGTAAATTTAATTTATGAAGAACTCGAGTATAAGGCTTGTTTCAGTAATGGCGACCCTGAAACACTCATCAATTGTACGTGTGACTACAGACCCACAACAATGTGGGTTGACTCTCTTAATAGCTTTGTGCAATGGCCTTGTAAGTAATTATTTCAGAGGCAATTCGGGATGGCCTTGCCAGTGACGCCTGTATCCTATGATAGAATAATTTTTCAAAAAATCGTTATCTACGTTACAAAGAACTATTAGAAAACACAGCCAGTACATACTAACATTTTGATTTTAAAAAGTGTTAATTTCATTGAATGTTTTTAAAATTAGAGAAAAGAAAAATCATTTTGTGAAATACAAAACAAAAATTGAGCTAAATTGATGATTTGGGGTGAAACCTGTGGACATGGAAATTTGAGTCCAAGAGTAGCATTATGGAAAATTGATTTTAATAAATCGTATTCAGTTGTGATAGACTTGTAATGCATGTTACATGTTGGTTCTGCCTGTGCTTCTGAAGGAGTCTAGGATATTGGTCATCTCTGGCACCATTTAAATTCAGATGTCAAAAGACACACTATCCTCTGCTTATATTTCATATTAAAAGCTCCTCCCTGTTGTTCCATTATGTTTCAGGTCATTAAATGTCCATGTTCCAGTGCCACTTCAGTAAGTGATAGCTAATTTTCTAAGAGATACTGTATTGCTCATTCTGACCAACAGCAACAGTTCAGACTGTTACTACATACATGTGGTAGAGTAAGCTATATCGTATAATTCAGTGGCTCTGAAGGGATTAATATTCATGTTACATTTTTGCCACTCATTCTACTGATGTCATACACAGTCTGTGGGTGGAGACAATTGGTGGAACTTTCCCAGATTTGAACAATGTGGGCAATTGCAACAGTTGGGAAAGAATGGTGAGAATGAAAAATTTAGTTTCTTGGCATTGAGGAATGAAATCTTCCTTTAAAGTTTCAGTGGCTAGATGAGAATCTTGCTAGCAAGTGGTGAGAATGCTATTTTCATGGATTAACATGTCATTATTCACTAATCTCTCTTTATTTCTATGGCAGTACTGTTCTCCCAGATGTTAGTGAGAAACATGATGGTTTCTATTCCCAGCTTGAAGGTCACTGAGCTTATCTACATCAAGTACCCACTGGGGTAAAAGAATGGGTGCTGGTGAAGGGTGTAGGAGAAAGCCTTGCCTGTGCACCGTCTGAGAGATCTGTGGCTTCTTCCGCCAGGTGGAGGTGAAACTGATGACTAGAGGGCTGGCCTCTCGTGGGCAGTGATTGCCACTGATGCCTGCATAAGACAAAAGAGGGAATGAATTGCACAGTAGGAGTAGAGGCTTTGGCCTGTTACAAACTCGTCCACACTAGTGGTAATGGGGATGCACAGATGCCCTTGGTTGCTGGGACATGGAAGTCTCAGCATCTCCATATGAGCAGTCACAGTCCTCCTCTGCAAGCCCAAGGATTTTCTCTTTCATGGGATGTGAAGACCTATATCAGCCACCCTGTCACTTGTATGGTCCTTTTTAATCCTTTACTGTGGGATGCTTTTTCCTGTAGTAAGACAAAGGAAGGGATTGAGTGAGATTAAGGTGGTTGGCACACCCTTTATTGATGATACAGGTGGAGGAATGTTGGTGAGGTGACCTAAGTGAGTGAGTAGGAAGACCAGAGGACAGGAAGGGTTCGTTGTTGGAGGTGGGTGAGAGTGACTGGGTGAAGATGCTGCATGCAATAGTGACATGTAGATCATTAGCCTCAGTGGAAATTTGGTATAGTGGCAGAATTAGAGTAAGTGTGAGATATGTAAAGGCTATCATTTTCTGTTTTCTTTTGATTGCAGACTAAAATGGAAAGGAAAAAACAGAATTGTGGAAGGAATTGCTGCACTTTTTTAAAAGAAACGAGTTATTGAAACACATTGTTTCGGGTGTTAACACTGTTGCTTTGCTCAAGCAGTGAGTGAAATCTGTTTGTAGACAGCCTGCCATTAAAGGGTTTTACAGAGAGACAAAAACAAACATTGCTGGAGAAAGTCAGCAGGTCCGCAGCATTGTGGAGAGAA